TACTCTGACTACTGCCAACGAATAACCCTCCCATTCATCTTGCTGCTGTTTTTAAAGGAAAAAAAAGATTGTTGTAGGGATGGCAGTTTCACGCAATTTTTTTGCCTGGAGATAGACATGAGACGGAACAAAAATAAGTGGAACATGATTATGAGTGAGCAGAAACACGGAATTCCCCATCGAACATATATATATATATATATATATATGCATATATGCACACATACGTACATACATATACATACACGGAGTGCACTGAGCGATTCCAGATGCGGTTTTTTGGCTGAAGAGTGATTAGTTTACAATTCAGCTTTCGAATGCATATCGGACGATGAATGATACAATCTGCCTGCTTTGCTACGGGTCTAATGAGAGATCGTCATTGCCGGAATTCTTCTGAATGGGTGATTCACCGAGCACTTAGAGAAGCCGGCTGTTGAGTCTGTGACAGTGAAGAACATTAAAATCACACTCATAGGACGATAAGTATTCGAATCTTGAAACGAATAGTGAAAAAGAAAGAACTTTGCTACGGGTCTAATGAGAGATCGTCATTGCCGGAATTCTTCTGAATGGGTGATTCACCGAGCACTTAGAGAAGCCGGCGGTTGAGTCTGTGACAGTGAAGAACATTAAAATCACACTCATAGGACGATAAGTATTCGGATCTTGAAAGTGAAAAAGAACGGTTCTGATAGAGGATCTAGAAGTAAGCCACAGCAACAGATGTCACGGAAAACTGCAAGGTACTATCCGAATCTAATTTACAAAAATAATATAACTGTCGTACAGGCAACATCGATTTATACGATCTGTGAAACAATAAAAAGATTATCCTGTGACATGTCAAGGGCTACGAATTCACTCGCAGCTGTAGCGTTTCATTATTAAAGAGAGCTTCATTCGCGGAGCTCCAGGTCAGTTCTAGAGTGGCTTAAGACGATCTACTTCACAATACACCATTCGTTGCAGAACATCGTCAAATGGTTGAAGCCAAATATTCAAGTATGAACGTGGTCATTCGTGAGTGTACAACACAGTGCCTCTCCTTTGGGATTTGGGAACTAAACTTTACTACACCTTGGCGAAAGGCTAGAGGACCAATGCGCGATGCCTAGTGGAAACAACCATGACAGACACAAACGAAGTGCTTCGCGTCAAGTGATTAACTGATGTTCGTGTCCTTACTACTAAGGCTACGAAAGCGAATTAAATCTGCTCATATCAGCTTCATTTGTCTCCGAAAAGATTTCCAATCAGTCATCATGTTTCCATAAGTTAGAATATCTTTTTCGCTTCCCATTCATGTATACCTCGAACATTCATTGAGCAGTTAACGTGGCCTGGTTGTTTCGAACGTCAGTATGTCTTTCATTAACAATCAGCATCCCAGCTGGTAGCTACTAATGCTACTGTCTCTCAGCATATTGGAACTCAAATAACAGACATCAAGTTGTCTTAGAATCTATTGCGGGTAATATACCAAAGAATTGTGTAATGCTTAAGTAAAAACCGTGGGAGGATGACCAAACAGCCAAGTGGTCAACAGATTCGACCGTTATTCTCACCGACAACTGGAAAACATCTGTTATGCATACGATCCTTGCACTTGGATATCTTCAAACAAATTCACTGGTGGATAACAATCGCCTGAGGTTTGTTTTAAAAGCATAATCACTGACCCATCATTAGAAGGATGGCACGCTGATCAGTGCTGTGTGAGCTTACGCAAGGTCAGATGGTGGACACAAAAGCTCGGCAGTCCGTGTTTAGAATAGTACTGATAAAATGTGAAAATCAGCTTAGTTCTTCCACAGCCTTCTGAGTCACCCAAATACATGTGGTAAGCAGTACGCGACTTTGAGATTAGCTGATCAGTGTCCCAAAGCGCGCACCAATTCCAAAAGCACACGTTGAACATAAAACGCCCTGCTGGAATGATTCACAGATAATAGAGCCAGCTTTCAGTAACTGGCTTTGTGATAAGCTTTCCGCGAACAATTGAAAGCAATTTTCACATATGGAACAACTCATCCGGCCATTATTGGGGAGAATCATACATCGAGAGGCGCAGTGACCTCTTGCTTCCAGCGGTCCTTGGGAACTTACCATGCGAACTGTGGTCTAATATTCTTCAGTAATGAGTGAAAGGGGAAGACAGACTTATACGCCACGAAAATGCGTTTTTAGCCAGGCTTGATGACGGACTGCGCACTTTTGACCATTTGGCTATTTTTGCCGTCTTTCCCAATACCCTTTCGCAGTTAGCAGGTACGCGATTTGCGATCAACTGAGTGAACTCAGTCCAATTTCGCACCGGAATAGGTGATAGTTTACTGCCATCGGTGGCAATCTTTCACAGCTCAGTTACCATAGGAAATTTCTGACACCGAGCTCCAGATAAGTGGTAAGACGAGTGGTGAGACAAGATAAGTGGTAAGATAAGTGGTAAGATAGTGGTAAGACGCAAGCCTATCGACCAGAGGGTGCGTGGTTCCAGCCCAATCCCCACCTCTTGACTTGTCCTATCTACGCTTGGGCAACCTGGCATTATCTCAGCCCTCGTGCTTCTTTCGGGCGGGCGACCAGCTGAGCATCGAAGCCGTGTGGCAGCTGAACGATATTATGTTCTCATTTATAGTAGCATTCCGACGTGACAGCTGAGCATCGAAGCCGTGTGGCAGCTGAACGATATTATGTTCTCATTTATAGTAGCATTCCTTGCGCTCTGTAGGCTTGGTGGTAAGTTACTCACAATCAGAGCCCCGTGTACTCCAGTCCCGTCCAGATTCCGAGCGTATTCAGGCAGCTCAATGAAGTTTAGCCAAGATATCACTCGATATTGAGTCCAACTACACACGTTGGAAGTCTTCAGATTGGTCACGGTGTTGGACCGCCTGGGTCGCACGGGTGAGGTGACCCGCTTGCTCTTCGGTGATTCGGTGAATTGGGTTGAACCACTAAACGACTTTGACATAATGTCATCGCCGCTGCTATTGACAAGCTGATCCACATCACTGAGGATTTCGGTCGGATCTGGGTGGCCTGCAAAGGGATCAGAAACGATCAGTTCCAGAAATCTACAAACAATAAACTGGTAAAAATAAACAGGTGTCCTACTTCAAACATTTTATACACAGGAACAAGGGGAACATAATACATTTTATGCAAGCATCGCTTGTGAGTCACAAAAGTTCGAGAAACAAAGTGCCTAAACATATAATTTGACAGACTTGCGCAAAGCACTTGTCACTCCACAGGTGTTGCCGCTGAGAACAACTGAACGTTGGTAAAAACATGTGATTAGTTCCCCATAGCTCACATAACACAAGTGGCCCTTCTGTCACTTAGACCTAATATGCGCAGCAGGCAGTGCGAGCGGGACAGTTCCACACCACACTTTACGACATACAGTTACTGATCTGAGTGACAACCTCGGTCATTTAAAGCGCATTCACATGAACTATCACATACATACCCTGGGAAACAGCAGCTGACAAGCTTTGCATCTACAAGCAACGCTTCTAACTGGTCATAACAACAACAAAATCCAGACAAAGAACCACCAGTGGAGCTTCACAATTCGCCTCGATACAATTTCACGTCCACATTCAACACGACCTGCATGTGGTCACCCAGGACCAGTAACATTTCAATCAAAAAATTATCATATTCTAAAAGGAATGACTCATCATATAGGTGCTGAAAAACACCGCAGGGTGCAAATCAGGGACTGATAAGGCTCAGGCTAAACACCAGGGAGGTGCGACAGTCAGCCAACCTTTCAATGCGGATTTCACACCTTGTGCATTGGAGCGTTGTGGTCATCTAACAGAGGACTAACTTAAAGGACCATAGCAGACTTGACGGATTCCGTAAACAGTCTGTTCTTTTTTGTTTTTGTTTTCGCAGAGCCATTTCTTCTCCCAACACACTGGAGCTTAAAGCAGTCTAATAGGTTTTTAGAAAAGCACAGTGCGGCACACAAATGCGTCAGAAAAACTATCTGAAAAGGAAACTGGGAAACACTTAGGAACACACACACACACTACGTTCTCCTCTCAGTAATTTATGGAAATTATTTTTCACCTCATCTGACTGGAACTGTTGGTGGCATGAATCCAAATGAGTCGTTTCCCCCTTTACCCTGATATTCTCCTGTTACCCTTTCGGATTTGTCGCTCGCATTCACTTTTTTATGTTTTTGACCATTCTGTTAAAAAATGGTAAGTTAAACTGTCGAAGAGTTTTTTAGCAACCTTGTGAGTAGTATTCCTCACGAAAATGTACTGCGACATCTCGAATATCGTGCCAAGTGGATAATGACGCGACCTGTGTGCAGCACATTCAGTTGTAGAATAGCATAGGTGAGTGATTTAGTTGTGTCTCTCGTGAAAATCAAATTGATTTGCAAATGAATGTATTTCTCGGAAACAATGCAATTCGGGTTCAATTAGAACATAAGATTGACGGAAACTCGGGGACTGCGCCTACCTGATGAGCCCCAAGAAGGGCGAAACCGGTCGTGAGCTGTCGAAGAGTTTTCAGCAACCTTGTGAGTAGTTTCCTTCACGTGACTCACATTAGTTTATAGTTTATGAAGTACAGAACTACGGGTCCTCATCGTAGGCCAACCTCCCCGTGATCGAATGATCGTAGGGACAAGGAAACAAAATCGCAATTTGCTCTGTTGATGAAGTGGCTGGTGATTCTTAGATTTACCTGACTGGGTTATTAGAGTTCCGGTTGAGTTACTTAAACACGTGGGCTGACACCATGTGTCCCTTTTTGCGGCGATGTAACGAGCTGGGCTAAAAATACTGTATTTGGGATGTCGTTAACGAAGTTTTTTTGACAATGCTTTTGGAAAAACTGATTCTCATGGGTCGATTAAATGCAACTGTGCCTTCTCTGGAATGGAATAAAACAATCCTGCGTTAAGTTCGCATAAACAAAATTTAGTGGTTCACATGCGGCAACCTGAATAACGTCATAAAAATAAACCTAGGCAAACGCTCACTTCGTGGGGAGCTTTGTACCTCACATAAGGACCACTGTCAGTTCGTATGAGTGGATATGATGAAGACTAACTAAAAACCAGACTACAGCATGATATCTTTAGCTGATCTGGAGTTAGCCCAGAATTGATCTAAAACTATTGGAAAGCGGAGCAAATAGCTTCCTGCATCCATTCCGTGAAACGTGAAATTTATGATCCTATTTACATGCACTGACAAAAGAGGGGGCGTTATTCGGTTGTAATTTGAATAAAAACTAGAAAAACTCTCTTTGCGTTTGTTATTTCTTCCATTTACTTCATCTCAGGATGTGTGCGGAATCTAAATTATTTTTTGGAATGTTTGTTTAACTGGGTGGTCACCGAATCCTCTCCGTCTAATCCGTACCATACTTATTGTCTGGGCACTTGTGGATATTTAACGATACTCAACATTGACTTGTAGGTTATTAATATGCCTAACTATTGGCCGATGTAGATCCACAGCAGGATTCGAGCTGTTCAATAAACTTGCTCATTTTCAAGGAGTGGACGGCCAAAATAAGTTATTTAACAATGCAATGTAGCGATCTAAACAACAATGGTCTGATGAAGTAGGAAGTGGTTAGGTGCACAAACTGTGGCACGCAATCAGACTGCGTGAAATCCGACAGAGCGATTAAAGAGTGAGCACGGCTTTGCTGTTTACCCTGCTACTGAACAATGATAACGTATTCATCGTATGTTGCTTGCTACGCACTGTTTGATGAGTTGGTTCAGCCCAAATCAATTTGTTTCTTTCGCTTTGTTCAATTTCTTTTAGCATTTCCATTTCTATTTCCATCCAGTTTCTATTCATTCACTCATTTTTCGTTATTCTCATGTACACTTAAGTACACTGCGTATTTTTTTCATTGGGGAATGATTTTGAAACTCAAATCCAATAAGATGTGGCACCCTACTAGGCGAGCTGATAAGCGAACAGGAGGAAATTGGGTGGAGAGAACTAGCGAGATCATGACGGGTTCCATGTGTTCATTAACTTTGTGGGTTATTCACCGATATGTGCAAATAGCTGAAAAGGTTACAGTTGGAGGAACCAGGGGTGGTCTAACGGAGAACCATACGCGATTGTCTGTTCAAATCACAAAAGGAAGGAGTAAGCCAACCACATGCACTTGGTTTAATTGGGTTACCCGCGCCGACCGGTTAGAAACGGTGTTAAGCAACTTGAGAACGTATGGAAGCGTGCCATTTGAGAACAATGTTTGAAGGAGGACAAGGTGTACGAAATATCGGAAATAACGTATGAATTACTGGCGGACGGTGCCCTGTTGACCAATCGGATGCGAACACAGCGCTGTGGATTACTTTTAATTTTGAAACTTGTGCGGCTTTCTTCGATTGGCAGGATGTACACTAAGTTCTTATTTGTAAGGACAGCTAAAGTTTTTTCAGATAAATAGAAGCAAAAAACGCAGCTCATCACACTAGAGATTGTGCCACAGTTCTGGGAAATAATTGAGTCAGTTCACAGAATTCAAGCATAGGTAATAAATTGGTTGGTAGTGGTCCGGTTTCATCTCTGATGATGCGCTCAGGCAGGATCACGGGGAATATCATGACCCCAATGCTGATGGGCGATTCACATCTTTCTGATAAGTTATCCACTTGTATGTTGGAGCCATACGACATGTTAATGGCAAAATCAAGCGTTGTATGTGACCGGATGATCCGCATGGTGCAGTGCACTGTGAGAGTTCTTGAATCTGATGTGCAATCTGTCAGTAAATCAAATGTGAAGGACTAGTTGTGGAGCCCGAAAATCGGTTCTTGGGCTTTAAGGGGATATACGGGCGCATTTCGCACGATGCAACATGCCATGCTCCACACAATGTTGACTGTTTGTTCTTTTGTAGTCCGTCAGATTTGGAATACTACGGTCCACAGACGTATTTGCAATGTACTACTCATAAGGTTGCTGAAAATCCGCCGACAGCCCACGACCGGTTTCGCCCTTCTTGGGGCTCATCAGGTAGGAGGCGCAGTCCCCGAGTTTCCGTCAACTTTATGTTCTACGTGAAGCCAAATTGCACGAATTTATCGAAATACACTGATTTGCAAACTAAAACGGTTTTTCGAGTGACTCACCTGGAACCCAGCTGAAGAATTAGGAGTAGTGCATTACGAATATATATGTATCGCGATATCTCGAATATCGTAGCGACTGAAACATGAAGCATCCTGATGCAACACATTCAGTTGCCTGGAAATATCACAAACGAGAGATTCAGCTGAGTTCCAGATGAGTCTCATCACATTAGACAGCTCCAGAGTCTCTTTTGGCTTGAGTGGGCTTGTTCCATTCGACATGGGATGCTGTAGATTCAGTGTTCTTGAAACACAGTTGATGCAATAAACAAACCGTCGTAATTGGTTAGTCTGGGCGCCTCACATTATATCTGCGACGGACCCGCTCATTCCAGAGGGAATAGTTAGCAAGTGTTAGCATCTGTTAGAGTAACGAACAGAATGGATCTATATCTTACACTCTTCGCGGAAATATGTTGATTGCTCTCAAGATGGCGTGAAATATTTCATGCTCCGAAATGAATTGGGTCCAGAATTTTTATTTCAAAATCTCTGAAGGTACATGGACTACCGTGAAGAACGTGCTTCGTGATGCCGTTCCCAAAGGAGACACCTTAGGTTAGCTCTTATCCTGGTGTGTCAGGAATCCAGTGATGTATCGTTTGTGGGACACGTCCCATCTAAGGCTACCAAAAGAGTAGGAAAGAGTACATTTGTGGCATATTTCAGGAACACAGTTATTATGTAGCCTAGGGGAACGCGTGGTACTGTCGAGCGGCTCAGTGGATGCGGGATTGGTTGAACAGCCGGAGGTAGACGCGAACGGCAAACCTCTAGGTCAGTGATATGTTGAGTCATGACAAATAAGGAAACAAGTCTGCCAGTAGGGGTTACGAATATGTTGTACACAGGCGAATTTTTGAACCCACTTTAGCACTCTTTCAGCACCATGTGTATTTAAAATGTAACAAAATCAGTGAGGGCATGCAACAATTACACATAAATGTTCGGAAATGCTTCGATTATGCCAACAAAAGCACCCTCTCTGGTTTGGTTGATCAGTTCCGAACCCGTGCAGAGATGGAGCCATCAAAACCATCACATTAGACAGCCCCACAGATTTTAATGTCCAGAGTCCGTTTTGGTTTGAGTGGACAGGTTCCATTCAACGTGAGATACTGCGGATCCAGTATTCTTGAAACCAGCGCTGATGCGATAAACAAACCGTCGTAAATAGTTAGTCTGGGCGCCTCAAATTATATCTGCGACGGACCCGCTCATTCCAGAGGGAATAGTTAGCAAGTGTTAGCATCTGTTAGAGTAACGAACAGAATGGATCTATATCTTACACTCTTCGCGGAAATATGTTGATTGCTCTCAAGATGGCGTGAAATATTTCATGCTCCGAAATGAATTGGGTCCAGAATTTTTATTTCAAAATCTCTGAAGGTACATGGACTACCGTGAAGAACGTGCTTCGTGATGCCGTTCCCAAAGGAGACACCTTAGGTTAGCTCTTATCCTGGTGTGTCAGGAATCCAGTGATGTATCGTTTGTGGGACACGTCCCATCTAAGGCTACCAAAAGAGTAGGAAAGAGTACATTTGTGGCATATTTCAGGAACACAGTTATTATGTAGCCTAGGGGAACGCGTGGTACTGTCGAGCGGCTCAGTGGATGCGGGATTGGTTGAACAGCCGGAGGTAGACGCGAACGGCAAACCTCTAGGTCAGTGATATGTTGAGTCATGACAAATAAGGAAACAAGTCTGCCAGTAGGGGTTACGAATATGTTGTACACAGGCGAATTTTTGAACCCACTTTAGCACTCTTTCAGCACCATGTGTATTTAAAATGTAACAAAATCAGTGAGGGCATGCAACAATTACACATAAATGTTCGGAAATGCTTCGATTATGCCAACAAAAGCACCCTCTCTGGTTTGGTTGATCAGTTCCGAACCCGTGCAGAGATGGAGCCATCAAAACCATCACATTAGACAGCCCCACAGATTTTAATGTCCAGAGTCCGTTTTGGTTTGAGTGGACAGGTTCCATTCAACGTGAGATACTGCGGATCCAGTATTCTTGAAACCAGCGCTGATGCGATAAACAAACCGTCGTAAATAGTTAGTCTGGGCCGCCTCAAATATATCTGCGACGGACCCGCTCATTCCAGAGGGAATAGTTAGCAAGTGTTGAAATAAGACGTGGTTAAGACCAAGATCTTCCAGAACGTCAGTAGCTTAGGGGAACGATTTGTGATTCTATCGATCAGAAGGGAATTGCATTCAGCTTTGATTTTAAAGCGTTGTGCAAGTGCACTGAGCATGTCAGCATGAATTTTGGGCGCCACTATTCGTCTGTCGACGCGGTGAAGAATACATTTTGGCATAGCTTATTTTTTCCCACAAAAGCCATTTTCCTCGGTCTGGGTGACCGGGAACTACCATTCGCCCTCGCAGCAGTACGTTCGCCAACCCCGTCTCCATCATTCAGATAGTCCACAACTATTAACCTATCTGCGAGTCCCCTCTCGTTTGTTCTGTGCCCAAAATATTGTCCAGAAAAATAAACCGAAATAGGCCCTTACAAAACGGTCTTATCCAAAATGGGTCATCCATAATGGACAACAAGATCCCCTTACTGAAGCGTTACTTCCCCTTTTCATCGATGTAGGTTGTCTCCGAGACACGCATACAAGATTGTAGGTCGCCAACAAATATCAGTCTTCGTGGGATAAACTCAGATTTTTCACAATTCACTATTCAGGTATCTAGCAGTCCTAATACAATAAATCGTGATAGTTGTGGCCTGGAGAGTGCACATGGCTCAAGGGTAAAGCACCTCTGTTAGACTGGATTTCAGTAAATAATTGCCTTTGTGTTGTGTAGTTTCCTGGTATTGCCCACTCCCCGGAGCCTAGCTGGAAGCGCACTTAGAACAGATGCAGTGACAGTGGTAAAGAAAAAAGTAACAGGTCCAACGATTGGGGTTATAACGAAGAGGAAGTGTTGGTGATGAGTATAAAGGTGGTGATGTTGATGGTGCTGGCGATAAATATGACCAGGATGATAGTGACGAAATGCACGAACTCAGCAGCCACCAACTGTGTGATTTCAATTACGAATGCGTTTGCATATTCTTGACCTTCTGGGCTTTGAACGCTGAGAATCATTTCCCTTATGGGTTTGCTCTAATTCGGCCAAACTAGTTGGCGATTCGTGTTACTGTGGCCGTATTGGTTGACTATAGCAAATAAGATTGTTCTCACGATGACAGAATCGGAATTTACTCAGTTTATGGCTTATAAGAAAGCTTTTGAGGGATAACCGTAGACTTCATCTCAGCCGGGGTTTTGCGATAGCTAATCTGGCTTCAAAAAGAAGAGTTAAATCAGATGAAGCTGACAAAACAGCAATCTCTGTTTCTCAACATTTGTGTGTCTACGTGCCCAAGCCTTCGTCCTTTGTTAGCAATACCTAGAAATGTGTCCTCCGAACGTATAAAAATCGTAAAATTTATGTGCAACTCCACCACAAAAATGATAGAAGAATAAAAAGCGAGCGTGGTATTTTGCAAAAATTACGAATTTAAATGCGCATTTGAGGTTAGGGTGGAGTGAAGCGAATCCCAGGCACTGAGTACTCTTTTCTCAGCAAGAAGGTGGAACGTAGGACCTATCATTGAAACCTTCGAAAAAATCAGATTAAGACAGTAGACTTAGAAATATATTGACTTCCTGACTGATACGGTCGTAGGACGGTTGCCATGTTTCAGTGGATACCCATCATTCTGTCCATTAACTCGAAGGTTGGAACGGTAAAATAGAAAAAAATGTGTAAACGAGAGTGTAAACAAGGTTGCTAGTTGTTTATTACAGTCCACACGCGTTTTGCAACGAAATTAGGTATGATGTTGGTTGTCCGAGAAAATCGATAGGACTGGGGACTGTTTTCAGGGACCGAGATAGTGCGAATTCGTTCATAAGCTTACTGGCTATATTACATAAGATAAGCGCCGAAAATTCCTCCCAGCTGTGAAGAGAGTGATGCACAAAGCAAAATACAAATTCACTACTTGTAGATATGTAACCAGTAAGAGTTATGTGGAAGCGTGTCAGTAGTTTGTTTTCTGGAGAGTTCACTGAATGTGTGACGGGTAGAGGTGTCATTTTATTTTCAAATCAAAAGTGTCTACCGTCGACCGACATGAGCATCTGTCTTTGTTTTGGTCGTATCATTCTCGATGGGAATAACCGTAAAGGCTGAGGTGTATTCAACTGGGTACTTCTAGGCAAATCACACAAGTGCTTTTTGCGGTGGATGACCTTACAAGACCCTTCTACCTCTCTGATCAACACACAGACGCTGAACCCCTACAAAGGCGCCGTCCGTCTGGTGTGGACTTTCCAGAATCGAGCAAGATGGCTGCCGTCAGATGAGGCTACCACAATAAGGGGGAACCACCGATACTTTTGATGGTGTTATAGGGCCAAGAAAGAGACCATTCAGAGATAAGATATCATGGGGAACTGTGGCATTTGAGTATAACAGAAATAGTGACCTTTCCTCGTAACGTCAGCATTCAGTTTGATATTTCCCATCGCTGATTAAAACGCCAAAAGTGTTTAGTAAAACGGTACAATAACGAAGACATTAAGGTGAGGAAATGAAATTTAATCAAAACCTAATCTGAATCAACATGTTAAGCAAAATGTGGAACGGTTCCACTTTGACACTCACTTGACCGTTGTCTAGTTCCGTTTTCTCTCCATAGGTAGTCAGCCTCGGTACCTGAATCCCGACAAAGCCCATTTAGATCAAAGTTTATCCGTCGAAGTATTTGTAATCCACGCCGGAAACTTAACACATGCAGTTCGTTTGTGATTTTCATTGAAACCATATCTTCCTGTGACGCACAAGAGTAAAAAGAGAGTGAACTGTATGTGTGCGGATTAGCTTGTTATCTGATGCCAAAAGTTAACAATTCTTATGACGCACAATTACTTGACAAGAAGCGTTTTGACTGATCGTCAGACCTGGCCTGCTCCTAAAGCTCCTAAGATTAGTCGTTCTAGCAATGTTCGGACTTTTTTGAACTTGTTTAACACCAGCATGGCTGAAAGGACATCAACGATTCTCCAACACCCACCACCTCTAGTTTGATTTCGGTGGGGAGCTTAGCATGAAACTTCTTGAGACTCAAAAATCTTCAAGGAAATTAAACAAATCACTAAGAAGCTAGATTTCTGATGTAAGTACATCCGGTCTTGGCTTACGCTGAACAAGGCTGTAGTTATTCTGAGACACCACATGTGTGCTATTCGACGAGCATTGATATCTTTTGACCTATTTGAGTGCTTTGCATCTGCGTTTGACCATTCTTAGCAGTTATTCCGATGAGACTGATGAAAGAGTGAGTTCTGGAGTCGAGTTTCGCTCTTATCAGGGTTCACCCAGTTGTAAGCTACTTGAATATCGGACTTTTAAGGTACAAGGCGAACATGCTACCACCACTTCACCAGAACACATGGGATGCACCGGAATTGTTACGCCTGGTATGAACTCACTGATGTGATTACCTAAGGACAGGAGAGGGCTTTTGAAAAGAAACCAATGTGGATGCAAACTCTGTAAATCCTGCAACAAGTGACGAATTCATGAATCGATCAACAGTGGATGAACCACTGGACTCTTGCGCATAGTGAGAGAATCATAGCCAGTTCACTTGGAGTGAACTGTGATACTGACTACAGGCCCTTAGAAATAGTGTATACCTGGTGGAAAAAGAAAGGCCACAGGGTATTCAGAAACCCACTAAAGCAACCAGTCGGTCTAAACCGAATTACGCAACAATGAGCATGGCATCAGTCATTCGTTTATTGTTGAGGAATTAGCATCATCCGTCGCCTCTTTTAATTTTCTGCTTATTACCGAACGTCCTCAGTACAGCAGCATACATTACACCATTTTCAGTCTGGATAAGTTTCAACGGTGATATCGTTACTGATGGATGGCAGCCTTTCAGGCGGTTACTGATCAGCAAATGGGACAAATATACTTCAATTCTAATGTCTTACTGTTGGTAGGTAGATCGATAAGTAGGCTGGTGATTCACAAGGACGATCATACTTAGGCGTGTATATCCGTACGTCACTCGGGTTCATATGCTTGTGAATGTACCGGATAGACTGAGGCCGTTCCAAGCGACTCGCTTGTTTCGTAGCTGTTATACAGTCGTTTCCGTCGAGCATCCGGGGCAATAATACAATCGTACTTTATAATGGTACAATACCGTTTTGGGTGAGACTCTCAAGGACAAGTAGAACTTTTACTATGTTATGTAAAACGGTGAGACCTGTCATGCTATCCGCAGTTTTTAGGTCGTTTACGTTTTTAATCATACATGAACGCCCAGACAATTGAAACGCGCAAAGAGGGAAATCATGTGATCTGCCGGAGTGGCGGCTACTGCTGACTAGATTTTGAGCAGAAAACGGGAGCAACCTGCTCAGTAGATGAAAGACTCGTAAAGTACGGGTGTAAAATAAACGGGTGTAACACATAAGAAACATCAACCGACTGAACGCACTAGGGTCAGGTTGTTAAGAACCACAGCGTCAATCGCGGCTGTTTCGAAAACGCCGGCGTATTCACTGAGACCGAGGTCGTCCAGCCAGGCTGAAAAACAATAGGGGAGATGAATTCAAGGTTGAGGATGAAAGCCAAACAGAGCTATGCTGAATGTCGAGTCATTTTTGACGAACATCTTGTGGAGCTTTCAGAGACGATTACTGGGAAACCTAAGAGGTGTAATCTAACTGTTACCATGTATGGGCCAATTAGGCTATAATAAAAAAACCAGCCATCACGACGACAATCAGCAAGCCAAGGACGGTTTGACTATAGTTGGGCCTTATGCAAGCACAAACGCACATGCGCCCACAACTCAGTGATTTCATGAAAAATGACGGTGAGGTTGTTGCCACCGAACCCGTCATTCGGCGAACGGCAAAAAAGACTTGCTGGAGTATTCGTCTCCTATTCAGGAGTCCTCTTATACACTCCTGAATTGGAGTTAGTGACAGGGAAACAGCTGATAAGATTGAAATCCACTTCTCTTTTCTATGCGTTTTGTTAAGTAGACAAACTATTCTATGGAAGCTTTGGGATGTCTTCTCAGCATAACACAGCATCATGCTGATATCACAACGGAACTTCTCAGAGATGAAGCACTCACCCAAGACGTTGAAATCCGTTGGCAGACGCATTCGTATTAGAGGTGGGTCAGGAGAGAAAAGGATAGGTTCTTTTGTGCGAAGTTGTAGGTGGAGTAGTATTTTCTTCAAATGAAGTGGATTTCGGATGCAGAGTTCCTTTCAACCGAAACACAAAAGAGGAAGTTGCGAAACGTTTCGGCACTGGACAACTAGTCATAAGCCACTTAGTAAACTGAGAGTTATGGGAATAAATGGGAACATTCTGCTTCAGAGGAGACATAAATTTTCTGCGAGTACAACCGAGACTGTTGAACAAAATAAGGATAAATAAGAGAACGCTTTGAATTTCTAATGGCCAGGTGACAGATGTACCGTGATGTGTACTCTTTCAAGCAATACGACACTGTAATTTGTTGGATGAATGGTTTTCACCTAGAACCGTCTAGAAAAGATTTTGAAGATCAACGAAAAATTGGTTAGCATCGAGGTCTGCTATGCCCGAATTTCAGTAGACCAGTTATTATCAGAAGCAGCTCATCACACTTCGCCCCTACCAACTAAATGTTCTCATAATACATGTGCAATGTTTCAAAGCTACCAACGTTTAAAGACAAGCAGTCTTCTCTTGTCTTCAACACTCAGCGGCAACGCTTCAGAACCGTGGAGCACTGGTATTTGGCCTGGTGGCTGTCGGTGACCCGTCCGAACGCGCAATAAGGATGCCTACTCGAATGGTTACAAACCATTTGCAAGTAAGCTGCCACACCCGATCAACAATGATTAACATTCACCTGGTCAACTGTTATTGAGTGCAGATCTATCAATATCCACATTGTCATCGAACAAACTGCTACGTTGTAAATCCCGCCTTTTACCGACAGACTGTCACGTCGATTACCGAGATGCACAATTTGAAGTAAAGCAGAAAGGGCTTCAGCAGTTCTAGTATCAATTTCGCCAACAATACTGCCGTATAAGGTGAGGTAACTGCCACATTATGTAAACCTGCCCACCGTATCTGGTGGTTCTAATTCCATGGCCAGTTTCGGTGGTGTGCTCGCCCAGACTTGCAATAGAGCTTTACACTTTGAAGGGACAAAGAATATGTCAAAACACACGGTAAAGCTATGTTGACAATTTGAAGCGTTTTACTATGTGGGTACTATGTGGGACGAAGAGCGAGTGCCTGCAGAATGGGGCATGTCGACAGTTATCCCTATCTTCAAAAAGGGTACACGGACGCTATGCGAAAACCACCGTGGCATCAG